GCAGTAATGGTAGCAGTAATGGTAGCAGTAATGGTAGCAGTAATGGTAGCAGTAATGGCAGTAATGGTAGCAGTAATGGTAGCAGTAATGGTAGCAGTAATGGCAGTAATGGTAGCAGTAATGGTAGCAGTAATGGTAGCAGTGATGGTAGCAGTAATGGTAGCAGTAATGGTAGCAGTAATGGCAGCAGTAATGGTAGCAGTAATGGCAGTAATGGTAGCAGTAGTGGTAGCAGTAATGGTAGCAGTAATGGTAGCAGTCTCACCGCCCTCACGGTCACGTAGTCCAGGTCAGCAGGGTAGAGGGTGTTGGTAGGGAAGCTGAAGGTGGCCTGGTACCCCGTCAACCTCAGCACCCCAGCTACCAACATCTATAATTATAAATTTCAATTAGAAATTAATAATTTATTTCTATTTCATTCCACTTTTTTACAATTTTAGTTATGCTTTGAGAAACTTTCAAATGATTAATTAATTAATAAATTAATTAATCTTAAGCGATAACTCGAGCTCTACTAGAATTATTTTTTCGGGAAGACTTTTAGCGGAACTTTATGGGGTCAACGGAACTACAGTTTCGTTCGCGAGATGATGGCAGTGGTGAAATTTTCCGACTTGCTTGCATAACTTTGTTGCGACTCAAGTCGTGTGAGTCAGCGATCTGGATCTTATTTATGAGAAGCAGAACCGCATTTCTAAGCCTTATTAGAGGTACGAATCAGGCCATGAGTGCGTCGACATGTTGATGCAAGTTCAACCAATTCTCCTTATCCTTTTATTTCATGTGTGTAAACCATATCTTGCATAGCACAAGCATGTTACGCGAATATTTAGAAAGACAATAAACTCGTTTGCAACATAAAGTTCTTTCGTTTTTCCCATGTAGAATGATCGTTATCTGCATGAAATAATTCCCTCACTCACCAGAATTTCACCCAGCCATGAGTAAGTGACCTGAGTCTCACCTTGCCGAGGGGCGGGTGCACGTCGTGGTAAAACGTGCGGTTGATGTACTGGTTCGCGAACCCTCCGAAGTGTACCTCGTCCCACCTGAGGTGTAAACGAGGGTAAACATAAGGGGACAGAGATAGAAACCCCCACGTATTACCAGCACCTCCGTGGTGCAAGCACCATCACCCTTCCTAATCTACGTTCGTGCTGATGCACCGCCTTCGTCGTCTTTCGAGCCGTCCGTCGATGTGCAGGTGATCCCACCCTCGGGTCCTCCGGGAGCCGAGGGCGTTAATGTATTACGTGGCCAGTTCGCATCTGCCTTAATTTGGGTTAGCTGATACAAGATGTTGTTCCTTGCCACTTGCCGAGGGTAGTGGGGCATAAACTTACGATATGGAATCTTGCTCAAGAACGCATCCATTCGTCTCTTGGATGTCTAAGGGGTAAACTTCCCCCAACCATGATAGAACACCCCGTTTTCTCAGTTCCTCTGGCAAGGCATTGAACACTAATAGCCTCGGTCCTGCCACGAAATGAGATCTCTCCCAAAGAGTCTGAACTTTGGCCACAGCGCGGTTGTTGAATAAGAGAATAAGACAACCTGCAAAGTCTGTCCCTCGGTTGATGTACGTCATTATTCAGTAGGTCTCACTTTCAAAGTATGCATCCACTTGGTACCAAGACTCACGTGGTGCCAGGAGGGAATTGCAGTCCTGTCAGTCTGGTACCCACCGCCAGCAGCGTGACGGTACCCAGACAGCACCACCAGGCAGCACCTCCACCACACCACAGCACCATCCTGTGGTGAAACCATCCGTGTTAGCCTTGTATATAATGCTTCTAACATAATGGAATTAACCAGAATGTGGTAACGTTATTGATATGAGTGCTATAATGATAGGCATAATAATAGTATAATGTCGTAGAAATGAGTATTATTGTGTCATTGATAAGAGCATTACAATAAAATTTATGAGTATTACAATTACGTTGATAAAAGTATTATAATGACATTGATAAGAGTATTACAATGAAATTTATAAGAGCACTACAATGACATGGATAAAAAAATTAGCATGACATTGATAAGAGTATTACAATGCCATTGATAAAAGTAATACACCGACATCGATAAGAGTATTACAATGACACTCATAATTCTATTAAGATACAGATGCGAGAAAAGAAGTACTCGGAGTGGTAGTTTTTTAAGTTAAAAAGATCGTAGTAGTGAGTTACGGGTTCGAGACCCACCGTCGGTTCGGAAATTCTGCGATGTCTAGAATTAGAAGCTGACCAAGCATTGCCTAGTCTCCAATGCTGACTTTACCGTATTATATTGCTATACGGTGATGTGAAATAAATGATACATTCATATGAATCTGAATATCATTACATTAACAGCGATCGAAGGAGCCGATATGCGTCCCAATAGCCTATGTATATATTTTGGCGCAAGGTGCACATAAAAGAAACATTGTTTGTACCATATCATATGACCCGTTAATTTTATATTCGTGTAATAATGATACGTGAAGTTCATGCATGTGGTAATTAATGTTTGCAATACAGGGAAACATTTCGTATTATTTGTTTTAACTCACGCTAAAGCCTGCAACTTGTCCAAAGTCCTGCCGGGCTTCATAGCGGCTGGGATCGTCGCGTTAATATAAATATCGCGGCGCTTATTTTCTGTACGGCAGAAATTACCTGCGTCTTTTGGGGGAAAATTTTGGGTTTAGATATCCAGAACACAGAACGATCACAGCACATACTGTACATCTTACGACCACTGCACATCTTACGACCACAACACACCTTACGACCACCCCACATCTTACGACCACTGCACATCTTACGACCACACACACACCTTACGACCACCTCACACCTTACGACCACCATACATCTTACGACCACTGCACATCTTACGACCACTGCACATCTTACGACCACTGCACATCTAACGACCACTGCACATCTAACGACCACTGCACATCTTACGACCACTGCACATCTTACGACCACTGCACATCTTACGACCAATGCACATCTTACGNCTTACGACCACCACACACCTTACGACCACCACACACCTTACGACCACGTAACTGCGGACCGGTCGGGTCACTGGCCCGAGTTTCGTGCCGAGTTTTCCTACAAGCCGTCCACGCGGCATCAGGAAAACCGCGGCATTGGCAGTTTTTACTAAACGCCAGTAACTTTAACTATTACTCTATTTTCGTTAATTGTTTATGCAAATTAGCACATTAGATGTACAAAAACATCAGATGACAAATTAAAAATATAAAATCAAATAAATAATCAAGTTATTTGCATGTTTTTCGTATGCATTTGTACGAGTCCTACTTCAGATTTGTGTTGCAGTACGTGGACCAAAGACTGCGTTGCAGCCACCTGTACATCATACATGTTCATTATTGCATACATGCCCTGAGTCGAGCACTGCTACGAATAACTCAAATACAGAATATTATTGTTCTAGAAACCAATCGACAGAATCGTATTAGAAACTACCAGAAAGTTTTGTTTTAAAAACCACTTACTACAGAGCATCATATCAGAAACTACCAGACAGTATTGTTTTCAAAACTATGTACTATAGTGATTATACAGCATCGTATTAGAAACTATTAGACTGTATTGTAGATTCAATTAGTCGGTATTGTAGCTACCAGAAAGAAACAGTCAGCATTGAACTCGAAATTAGTCATTACTGACCAAAATCTTGAGTTTTCCCCTGTACTATATGCAAAGTTTAATGAGGTTACTTTTTGCCTTCATATGTGCAGCAGTGCTACTTTGTATTACACCCTCCACATTAATTTTATGATGAAGTGGAAAGGGGCCAGGATCTAGGTTTTATGTTTTTGCACACAAACAAAAAATTAAAGACACCCACTGCATAAAGTAGGTACAGCCGTGGGCTACACATATAGCTTTTGCCACATATATAAGCTAATAACAGCTACAAAATCATTGTCCAGCCTCAAAATACAATACCTACACCCAGCTTGAGCTCTGCACCGGAGGGATATACGAGTGCATGCCACAATTCACGCCCCCTACTTAGTAGTTTACGCCTTCAATTCACAAAACTTGAACTCTCATGGTATTCTATGACTAGATATACCTCCTTTCTAATCTTGACTCTCAATCTCCTCTTCAACCAACGTATAGTTATGTCCGGTTCATTATTGGTCAAGTTGAGCGTCGGGGTAGTTGGTGGAGCTTAGGCCAAAAAATGGTTGGATTTATTTTTCGTGTCGAAAGGCTAGTATGGGAAGTAACTTTATGGTTCATATGGCGTCTAGCGATGACTTGAATTAGTTAATATAATTTTCGGGATGAATGACACAGAAAAAAGTATTCGGTATAGTGTGAAGTTTGACATCGCTGGTGTATAACAGTCACCGTTATAGATGAGTGGAAAGAATTTATAACCGCGAAATAAATATATAACTTCAGGGTCCCTGTAATATGTAAATCATCAGTGATATAACAACAAATTAATTTTGCAATTGCTGAAATCATACCAATACAGCACAGGATTACCCAGCAATGAAAGTTCACCGTGCACAGATTGTGGCATTAAGATGTGGGTTCGATTCCAGTTTCCTGTGATAGTTCTAGGCGTAATTGGCGAGGTGACAAGGCGGTAATGCACAGTGGATATTAAATCTGTGAGTTGCGTGCCCGACAGCCGCAAACATACTGAAAAAATTTGCAACATTCAGAATCAGCGAAAAGAGCAGTGGCCTAATATTCTACGCAGACATCACTCTTATTATTTTATTGTGTGATGTTATGTGGGAGGTGTTATGTGGGTGGGGTACGTAACCACTGGGCAGGGTGGCCCAGTGGTTACAGTTGGGAGCGAGCGCAGCCGTGCACCACCAATTTTGTGCACCAGTAAGCCCTGAATCGTACGCCTTGGATCTCCCCGGACCTACACCAATCAGTCGTGCACCACTCGGCTTTGTCCTCTTCCGGCCTTGACCAC